GGAATGCCGTGATAAATTCTGAATCGTTATACAACGATATATAATGATCCAAATAAATTCTTCCAGCAAAAGTATAATCTTCGCAAAAACACACGTATTTTCCGTTTCACTATCGATAGTTGTTCTTATAGAATTCGAGTTTCTCTCGAATACGATTTAACGACGTCGAATATACTCTCCCTCCCCCATTTTCTTCATTCCCTACTTTCTCTCAGACCGAATTCGGCATCGATTTCCATTTTCAACCCTCCCCCGCTGCCCTCCACGCGCGATCCTTGTTCCCCGTCCTCAAAATTACCCTCGGCTCGTTGAATCTTTAATTTCCGGCGTAGAAATCCGTGAGGCTGAGAGCGATTTTTGGTGATATCTTTCTGGTGCGCCACGTGGCCCGACCAGATTTCTCGTTGCCAGCGTTTCGTCCGCTCATTTCGCGCCGAGCGAGGTTTTCAATGAGATTAAATTCCGCGTGGAAGCTGGAATCTTGCGCGAATAACTTTGTCGTGACGAGCTGGCGTAGCCTTCAGCGTGGAATGAAACTTTCGACGAATTCGACGAATGATATCTTTGGTGTCCATGAAAAAAAACACGCGGATGAGTTATCTAATTTGAGATATGTTTTCGAACAATCTATATTAAAAATATACATTCTAAACTCAATTATATACATTTTTTATTTCAACGTAAAATAATTTCAACAGTGTTTCCATAATTTTAATATTGTAAAAAGAATTTTTATCTTTTTTAGGGGAAAAGGAAAGATTAATTTATTGTAAGATAATCTTTATAATTGCGACAATATATCTGATATTTGCACGTTAGATTAGACCTATTTCTCTGAAATTCACATAGAGCGATTGTTTATATCTTTTTTTAAGATTTAAGTATTTTATAGGATACTTGTGACATATCGCGGCATGCAACAGTAAAGATATCGCGAACATTGCAACGTATCCGTATATTCAGTAATTAACCCGCAGCGCACGAGAAACTCGGGACTACAATTAGCACGAGCCAATACGTAAAATGAATTATCGCACTGGGCTTTTGTCCGGCCGTGTTTGGGTCATTACTGCTTCGCGCAATTCCATTCAATTAGCCTAAAAACTTGGCGAAACACATTCTCGGTATGTTCCGCGGTTCCTTTTCATCAATAGCCAGTAAAATGGCAAGCATGTCGTATCAAAATAAATAAAATTAAATTAGAATTTAGAAATAGTTTAAGTCGTACATAACGGTATAAAAATCTTAAAAAAAACATTTTTTCGACTTGATTACTTCTCGCAATTTGATCCTCTATAATTTAAATGCTATAATTTAAAAGAATATGTGTACAAGAAAAAATAAACATAAATATTACGTAAGCGAATAAAAAGAGAGAATAGTTGTTATACAAAGTAATTTATAATTTATTTTTGAAAATTATAGCCCCCTGCAAAAAATTTTCGATTGTATGTAGACGAGCCTATTGTTTAAAAGCTCTGCGTTGTATAATTTGTGCATTAAATAGAATGGTCGAATATGTGAGAGTCGCTGGTTACTTATTTTACTTTTTGCTATATCATCATAATTTTATTACGACGAGAAGTCGGAGAGGCTTTTAATTGCTACGTGTGTGCTCGGTTTCCCTGCCAGAATAATCCAGCTTTGAATGCAAATGTGCGGCGTGGCTTTTTTTCCATTGGGATTATCCGACAGATTCGCAACAGTATTGTATGCTGCGGATATGTAACTCCTACTTTTTTACCTCGTGGATTGCGCTGCTTATCTCTCGTCGTGCTTTAACATCAGCCGACACGTGCTTAATATTTTCCCTGGATAATATTTTATTTAATCCTGTCTCTCAGAACATAAAATAATACATATATATAATATACGTGAAATGATTTTTCGCGAGATTCTCATTTGTTTCTTTATTGAAAAATCAACCCCACAGTGGAAATACCAAATTACATTCAACAGAGATTTTAGTGAAGTTAAATAAACCCAAACCTTTTTTAAAATTCAAATTAGATAATTTTACAGAGATTTCTATTCATGTTGAATTATTCTTGGTTAAACTAATTAATAGGGATATTTGATAAAGAAGACTTCATTTTGCGTAACAATAATAATTCTATTTGAGATTGTATGCTTTTAACTATTAATGCTCTTTTAATTAATAATACATTAGAAGTATTTGATATTTTAAATAAAACTTGCTCAATAAATATATAAAATTTTATATGCACAATAACATCTTTCATATATCCGTATTGCTTAACAAACAATTTCTGGCTATTTATTTTTTTTTTACAATTGTTAGTTTATTAATTTTTTTCTTCGAAAAAATATTTTCATTATAATAATTTCATTCTACTGAAATAATTAATGGTGATCGAAGTAATGAAATTGATCGTGAGTTGCCGCGATTTCGTGCTGAATGTAACATTCCGCTGTTTACGCTGGTTGTTTAACGTTATGCTTTAATTAATACCGAACCGTGCCACACGACGAAACTCACCGGCAGCTCGATGGCTGTTCTAATTTACGCTCTCTTGTATTATGCGGTACGTGCCTCTTCTACCATATTAATCCATGGTTAGAAGTACATCCGTATTACGTCGCGTTTCGAAATTGTGTTCTGAAATAATTTCGCTTTACAGGCAGATACGCGCTAATACAATTATTCGGATATTTGCAAATGCATGAGTAAATATATACAGGGAAAGCTAAATAATAAATTATTTACATAAATATCTAATTTTAGAAAGTCTTCTACGAATAATGTTAAATTTATCCACAAAGGATCCGTAGTGTAAGCGATCCTAAGCGGCTTAGAAATGAAAATTATTAAGGCTACGTTTAACGATCATAGGTGGAAATAAATTAAGTATATTTAAGTTTTTTATTAAATTTAAGTTAATTATTATTAAAAGCTATTTTTCGTCATATAACTTGTATGTAATAAATTTGTAGGATCAAAATTAAAAGCAATCAATGTTTTAAAACATGATAAATTTTCATAAATTTTAATACACACATCAAATTTTTGAAATAGCATTTATATAATTTCCAAGATAATTGTCAAGTTATTGTTATATAATTGTTATATAATTATGTTATATAATTGTTATATAATTATGTAAATTGTCAAACATTATAATATAGTAAAAATATTAAAAAATATAATCAAAAATACAATAAAAATATAAAGAAATGATAATCAGAAAAATAAACTGCAGAATTATTTTCACCGGTAGTACAATTTAAAATTAGTCAGCCTTTTTCAAGTAGTGTAAATCGAGATTAAACAGTACTTATTTTTAGACGAAACTGTTATGTGTAATATATTGATCTAAGAATTTATTAGAGACCAAAATAAGAGATTTTACGAAATAAAAATCAGACTTTATATTAAGTAGTACAATTCAAAATTAGTCAGACTTTTTTTCAAGTAGCATAAACTAAAATTAAGTAGCAGTAATCGTGCTTATCTTAACAAGAAACTGTTCAATAGCTCCAAAGAAATGTCGCGAGCTAAAGTGTAACACTAAGACTCGAGCATGATTGTGCAGTTCCCTACAAAAGACGATCTCAATTCGCGATCACCGGAAACTAATGGTTCTCCTTACAGCTGGCGTCGTCACGGGATCGGCCATTTATCCCCGCGTGAATAAAGACAGGTGCAAGACGCAGTGCAGTGCACCGGCAGGTGCAACTGCAGCTGACGATGGGGCAGATACTATTATCTCTTCCGTCAAGAGGAATCCCTTATTAATGGTCGGCTAATTGGATTTCTGAATGTAGGAGTGATTATGTCAAAACGTGGAGACGTGCATGTTGACAGGAAAGGGATATAAGATATACAAGGTGTCCCCAGCTTTCACAGATTTTCTCTCCGTTATAAATTTTTTGATTTAAAAGTATTATTTTTTAATAAGCAATTATTTTTTTGAAATATATGTAGTTAAACAATTTGAATGCTCTTAACTTATATTTTATACAAAGGAAAAATAATATCTTATATTTTTTATCTTATTGCACGTAAATTGTATTTCAAACAATATATTCATGAAAAAATTTTTTACAATAAAATAATATTCAAAATTAAACATTTTATAAATATTACGTGGAAATTATGAATTATGATATCCAAATTTTCGTGAAATATCAATTAGCATATGCACTATCGAGAAATTAAAGCAAATTCTGGAACACTCAGTATGTAGTTAATAGCAGATAGATTTATCATATAATAGCAATCCCTCTATTGGACCTTGCATCTCGCCCGATACCCTCCCTTTCAATCGAGCAAATGCATTCGATAACGGGGAATGCTTGTACCTGTCATCCCTCAAAGATGACTCGTAACTGTAACTTACAATGATGAAACAATGGCATCACAATATATAATACGCGCGGATATAGAATTTATATCTAAATGACGCGACGATAACT